AAAAAAATTATTCATGTACTTAATTCTTTTCCACCGACGGCGAGGGGCTCTATTATTGCGGCCTAAGATGACATAATGAGACAGTGTCGGGCATGGGTATGGCGCAGAACAAATGATTGGGCCACACAAATAGTTAAATATTATATTTTAAAATATTAAATTAAATTAAATTAATTTTTGTTTAAAAAAGTTAATAATTAATAATTATTTATTAATAAATTAAAATTAATTTACAAATTATTATTTTTAAATATTGTAATTCATCATTTATGAAATTAAAAACAAAATTTGTGTGGTTTTAACCACTGCCGTTGATAGTGTCATAAATAATAAATTTTGTAGAAAAGTTTATGAACAAGTAGAGGTTCAAAGGGGAGAATAATACCAAGTTGGACCACAACAGCGTGACCCCATCCAGCTCTTTCACCACCTAACCTCGAGGTGCGCATCTGGTTTTTGCTTTTCCTTAGGAAAGGGAGTGCTCGATCTCTGCTTTGAAGCTATAATTTTTAAATGGATTAAGAAAAAGACTCCCCCATATTACTTTCCAGCCACATGATGATTCAAATGATGCAAACCATGACTTCCTTTAATATGATCGGAGTTGGTGTAGTTGTTGAATATCCTTGAGTTCCTGCTTCAAGTTGATCCTTCTCCAAATGGCCCTGCAAAATCCCGAGGTTGGTCCTCGAGGAAAAACTCCGATGCTTAAATCAGTATTTTTCTAATCATGTTTTCCTTTTTGTTCCACCTATTTATCGAACCTTACCTTGTGGGCTTTGTCCATCTTGGCAAGGCACCCACGTGGACGTGGCTTGTCCGCACCCACGTGGCTCAGTCAACCCAATAATGGTGACATAATGCACCTGACGGAGTAGACGTTTTAGGTGAATATAACGTGCCTTAACAGAGTAACCGCATTAAATGCGCGTGGTGTATTCTGACGGAGTAGATCTCTTGAGAAAGGGTGTTCTGGTGGGAACAAATGATTAGATGAGGGCGTGCCTATTGTGACTGCCATACATTTTCGGCAAGATGCCGAGGTGCGGTAAACTTTGAGTTCCGCAGCCGAGGTGCAGTGAACTCCGATCTCCGATCTTTGCCTTGCGCGTTTTCTGGTATAGCTGCCCTTACAGTTGGTATCCGAAATTTGGATGCAAAATGGAATACATTAATACCAGTGAGTAACACTGCTGAAGCTAAGGATTCTGAGTCTCAAACCCCTTCAATTTTTTAAAAATTATTAATATGAATTATTAATTTTATTTTTAATATTTTATTTTATTTTATTTTATATAATTCTAATCTATTTCTTTATCAAATTTTCATTTTACCCTCTCCTAAATATTTTTTCTATGACTAGTAATATATATTGTCAACGGTTATGGTTGAGTTTTTGAGTTTTCTTTCTCGAAAACATGATTCAACGAGACTAATAAAGAAATACCCGGAAGAAAATGACCTTGGAATATTTTAACTTTGTTTTTGGATATGTTTTGGATGGTCTTAGGTCTTATCCAAATTTCAATGTGCACAATGCACATAGAATAGAACTAATTGAAGATTGACGCGTTTTTTCCTGATTAACAATATGAGTTTGAAACACAGCAAATTAAAAAGAAGCGAGTGACAGCAATGATCAAGACAGGACTAGGGGTTACCACTAGTACCATTGTATTCTTGTCAATTTCAGTTTTGGGACCAATTTGTCTCCATCTATGTTATAAGTAGTTTGAAATTTTAATTAGAGAAGCTCAAGTATCTACTTTGTTAATTGTTAGTGGGACATTGCAATTAAAAAGCCAAGGCCTCACAAATTGAAGTTATGAATTCAGTTTTTATCAACTAATCTATATGGGGTCAGACAAAAAAATTCGATTGGCTTTGCCAGGGAAAAAAAAGTGAGTATATTCAGAGATTATAACATTTAAAATATTTAAATTATTTGTGAAATTGTTTTAATATTTTTAATGCATTTTTTATATATTAATTTATTAAAAATATTTAAAATTTTTTATTATTATTTCTAATTTCTTAATTTTCAGAATATTTTAAGTTTACTTAATCGACTTCAAGGATATACAATTGTTGATAATAACAAAACCGGACACAAAAGTCCACAGAATTGGTGGCGGCTGGAAGGCGAAACAACTAAATGTTCTAATTCTACATAATTAAGGAATCCTTCAAATACCACTGAAATATCTTTGACAATTTAGTACTAACAAAAGTTCAGCGCTACTAATCAGGGGATTAATTATATAAATTTGTTTTTAATTGAACAGTGAGGCTGCAACACAATGGAATATATATGGCACCTGAATTTCTAACTTGGTTGGCTAATAACTAGTTTTAAAAGTGTTTTTTTTATCAACATGATGATTTAAATCCTCGTTTCTTAAAATTTGTGTATGTTAAAAAAGAAAAACACACACATACACAATGGAACATCAGAAGATTTTGCTACTATACATTTAATGAATGATGGACCACACCAACTAAAACTAAATCAGAAACATTACTCTAAAACCATGTCCAAACAGACACTGGAAAAAAAATAAAATTAAAATCATGAAATGACCAAACATGACTCTAGATCTAATTTAAATTAATCCGAACCCAACCATCCATATTTTTAAAAATGCTCATGTATCACAAGAAACATAAGACTTACATTAAGATTAATTTTATAAAAAAATGGAAAGCAGTCCTGACTTTCTGCGATCCCTTAATTTTATTCTGCCAAAAAAGTAGTACAGTTAATTTCGGAAGACAACCATGAATTAATCAAAACGGAAGCAAAGTTAATTAAATAATGAAGACAAAGAGGAATTAAACAGTGAGATTTGGTGTTTAATTAAGCATGTGTTTCTCAATTATTGTACTGAAATTTTGAAAATTCAAAAGTAAAAATTTCATGTCTGGTGGGTTGAGGAAAATGATGGGAAATGAAATTGTTACTTTCATTCTCCTATCCTCATTTTTTTTTTTTATAATTTAGAGAAATAAATAAATTTAAAAAAAAAGTAAAGGAAAATTTCTTCTTTCCCTCCCCTTCAATTCTTCTGTTAACCAAATAGAAAAAAGGAAAAAAAATTTTGTCGCTTCAACCTAAACATACTATCAGAAAAAAAAAAAAGTCCTTGATAATCTTAAGAATTAGAACTATTGATAATACATGTTTTTTTTTTACTAACTTTTCAATATCTGTTAACCACATTAAATCCCAATTAATTTAGAATCGAGTTGAATCGGACTCCATAAAAAAAAAGCTCTCTCAGCGTTTATTTCTCTATTCACAAGATTCGAATTTGATATCTTATTTAAGGGAAATCGAACTCCTTTCACTCAAACCAACAACTCATTAGTCCACTAATAATACTTGTATTTGATTTAAAATTTTGTATTTAACAAAAAAAAATTAAATTTTTTAAATGTATCATGTCAATCCCAAAAATCCCCTTGAAATATGAAAAAATAAATAAATAAAGGGCGAGATTTGGTGAAATGTGAAAATGGTGGGCTGTTTAGTTTGGATATAGCTTTCGGATATTAGCTGGCAAATAAAGGTCTTCGGGAGGGTTTAGGCCCCAAAGTCCACGTCATTAGGCCTCCCCCAAACCCCAAATCAACTTGGGTTAGCGTGAGGAGGTGGTCTTCTACCCATTAAGCCACGTCATCACCCCTATCCTCTCCCCCTTTTAAACCAGCCTCCACACCCCTCTGCAGACCAACCCAAAATCCCCCTGTTTTCTGTAAATTTGTTTGATTCTTCCAAGCCAAAAACCCACAGAGCACAAAAGCCAAAGGTGAAGTAGAAGGAGAGCAAAATGGAGGGTCTTATTCCTTGTGTGTATAGAGCCATAGTTCAATACAGGAATGGAAAAGAAGGCGCACTAGCAACTTGGTTCAATGAGTCCCCCTCGCCTTCCTACATGCGACTCCCTGGTGATTCCGGTCGGTTCCAAATCTCAGATGGTTTTTCAACTTCTTCAACTTCTTCCGTCACTACTACTTCTAACACTGCTCAGATTATCATATCCACCGGAGTTCACCAATCTCCGGTCCATCGCTTCACCTCTCGCCGTCTGGTCGCCTGATCAGGATGATCGTGGATTTATATATAGTACCGGAATTGACATGCCATGAAGTAAGATGATGGTGTGAAAAGCTTTATGTATGTGAATTAAATGTTCTGTTTGCTTTTAATTTTCTTAATGTTTTTAGTGTAATGAAAAATTATGTGTAGGAGAGGCCGAAGGGAATCATCCTATACGAACATTGTGTGTAGTGTGAAATGTGAAGGAAAAGGAAATTAGTTATGAAAATAATTCATTTGTGATGTCTGAGAATGATTACGCTTGTTCATCTCATCCAACAGTTGGTTCCTAAATCAAACAGTCATTTTATAATGTTTTGACTTCTTTTTTTTTTTTTTTCTTTGGGGATAGGTTAATTGTTGAATTCCATGAGAGAAATTTGGGGTTTGAATTCTATTTATATAGTGGAGAAAATGTTTTTTCACTAATAATTTAATTAATTACTGTACATATTTTCTTCATATTTTAATTCTTTTTTAATTGAGTTAACATTGTCAATTTGATTAAATCTTTCAAAAAGAGAGCTGGTTTTGGAGTTGGTATATAAATGCTTAGGAAAGATTACAAGCTAATTAGTATTTAAAAAAATGAATGAGACAAACCAAATGTGTTACATTAATGGAAAAGATAACGAAAAAAGATTGAAGAATTAGTAAGAACAAGGGGTATTAAAGTGTAATAAATGAAAAAGTTGTTCTTTTGCCTCGTAATTATGAGTTATGACTTCGTAGGGTTTCTAATGATGACATAATGGCAATTAAAGATTATCGCAACTTGGATTAATTAATTTCTTGAACAATACTTGGATTTGATTAATAAGATTCGATGCCGGCGTTTCTTGATTGACACTCTGCTTTGGAGGGTAAGATTTCATTCTCAAACTGTGCATGAGTCACGATGATGGTTATGTGGTTTTTGCCCCAAAACATTAAAGAATTAAGGATGGTACCACCATCTGATTAATCGAGGGTCCTGATAGTTTTGTTTTTATCTTAAGTTAATTAAAGGCACTTCTATTAATTATCTCTCCCTTTAGCAATTAGAGTTTTTTTTTTTTTTTTTCCAATTCAAATTATATGAATTTTTTTTTTTTTTTTTTTCCAATTCAAATTATATGAAAATTAGTAGAAAAAGAAACTATAAAAAAACAACATTTAATATTAATGATTTATTTCTTATGTGATAATTTAATTTAGACAATATAATATAATTTGAACTTTTGAATTGCATAAATTATTTTTGTTGCAACTATCGGTAAAGTACCATGTGCGAATTGCACTGAAAGTTTGCAATTTTGGTTTCGACAATTTCTGTATCGAAAGTGAAGCTTTCATTAATAAATTTGATAAATTTATGTGACGGTTCAATAGTCTCTTTCTTCAATGTTGTTTCACATTCATATATTTGGATAAAATTTGTGAACAGTGAAGTTAGAAAAATTAATGCATATTAAACTATTAGGGAACAGTTTGTACTTTATAGACATTTGTTGGGATTTTGCTTTCATTTCCACTTAAAAAATAAAAGGAAAAAAAGAAAAAAACATTTACTAATCTCTTCATGTATGGATGAACTTTTTCTATTGGACCAAAATGTGTTTCACATAGTAAATTGTTTTGGATCATGTCTTGGCTCAAGAATATATATAAACAAAAAAAAAAAGAGATGAAACCCACAAATACAAGTTAAGAATATTAAAAAGAAATTGAGATGAAACACAAAATACAAGTTAGAATCCAAAAGAGCATGTCTCACCAGACTCACCTCTCCTTACCAAACTTGTTTTTGGTTGAATGAGATAGAAACTTATATTTATTAATAATAATAATAATAATAAAAGATCGTATGTCAAATTTAGATATTTTATTATCATTAAATCAAACTAAAACATACCATTTATAATTGACAAGTTAAGAATATTAGACTTTTTTTTCTTAATTTACTATTTCATTACATATATTTTAAATCAAAATCAAATAGCCTAAATATGATATGGATACTTTAAAAATGGTTTTCATAAAGGTGAGGGTATACTAGTGAGTGAAAAAAGGGTTGAGGGCATAGTTGTAAACAAACTAAAACAATAGGGGCCTAAATTAATTAATTAATTATAAAATTAACTTAATCGTGTTCCAAAATTTTAAAGTCATTCGATCCAAAAAAAAATTCCAAAGTCCAAAAACTTCCAATTCTATGATTCCTGGGCCTGTCATCTGAGCCCACCAAATATGAAGGAGGCTTCGTGATTCGTGAATCCAAAAGCCTTGCTGAACGCAAACGCAAAGGCAGAATGAAACCTGTTTTCTAGGCCTGGAAAAAGTTTGACCGGTGCAGCTGTGCTGTGCTGAAAATCCGCCACCATTCCTTTCCTATTTTGCAAATAGTTCTCCGCAGTCAACGCCAATCCCACCTTCAGATCAAAGTGAATAACAATGTTTAACTGTAAGTAAGTCCCAGCAAAAAAAGTCACCATTTTTTCTTTGTTTTTTTTATTATGCATATGGTTGGTAGTCGATTTTTGTGTAGGATTTATGAAATCATAGGTTGATTACAGGAGGATTCATTGGATGTTTGATACCCTTTTTTCTGTTTTTGCATAATGTATGCTGGGTTTGATGGTTTGAATGTAAATCGTCTGGTTTGCAGGAAAAGAAAGGATTTTGGTGGGTTATTACTATGAAGGCGCTTATTTTGGTCGGAGGGTTTGGAACCCGATTGAGGCCATTGACCCTTAGCATGCCAAAACCTCTGGTGGATTTTGCTAACAAACCCATGATCTTGCATCAGGTTGGTGTTTTCATTTTACATTTTTGGATGTTGTTTAGTGATTTTGTATGCCTTCATGAATTGGGAATGCCTTGAGACTTGAAATCTTTGTTGACAAAGCGTCATGTGTTTCACATCTTCACATTTATGGCAATACTTTTAGAACATAATGGGCATTTATATGCGTTGACTTTAACCTTTATGTTGTATATAGCAATGCAAAAGATATTTCATGGTTCTCAAAAGCTGTTAACTTCTGTGCTAATAAGCATGAAGGGGTTTATTTTGATGTGTTAAGCCATCATATTGATACCCTCTTGATTTTTTGACCAGGTTGAAGCTCTCAAAGCCGTTGGAGTTACTGAAGTGGTTTTGGCCATCAATTACCAACCAGAGGTAATAAAAGGGGATCCTTGTTGCAGATTCCGTTTTGTTAATGATGTGTCATTGCTGATGCTGTATTTAGCATTCCATCTGGATTTTTTACACCAATTTATTTTGCAGGTCATGTTGAATTTCTTGCAAGAATTTGAGGAAAAACTTGATTTGAAAATCACCTGCTCACAAGAGACTGAACCACTTGGAACGGCAGGGCCTCTAGCTCTAGCTAGAGATAAATTGATAGATGGCTCTGGTGAGCCCTTTTTTGTCCTCAATAGTGATGTTATAAGTGAGTATCCTCTAAAAGAAATGATTGAGTTTCATAAAGGCCATGGGGGAGAAGCATCCATCATGGTAACCAAGGTAAATATTAAGTGTTTCTTTTCTCAGCCAAAGATTAACCTTTTTCTTTACTGACTTCTCTCTTTATGTTTTAAGGTTGATGAGCCATCGAAATATGGTGTTGTGGTTATGGAAGAAGCTACTGGTAAAGTTGAAAAGTTTGTTGAGAAACCACAAAGATTTGTGGGTAACAAGATCAATGCTGGAATCTATTTGTTGAACCCATCTGTTATTGACCGAATTGAACTGAGACCCACCTCGATTGAGAAAGAGGTATTCCCAAAGATTGCAGCTGAGAATAAGCTTTATGCAATGGTGCTACCTGGATTTTGGATGGACATTGGACAACCAAAGGATTATATTACAGGCTTGAGATTGTACCTGGATTCATTGCGAAGGAAATCATCCCCAAAGTTGGCAGCTGGATCTCATATTATTGGAAATGTTCTGGTGGATGAGAGTGCTGTAATTGGAGATGGATGTCTCATTGGACCAGATGTAGCCATTGGCCCAGGATGCATTATTGAGTCTGGGGTTAGATTATCACACTGTACAATAATGCGTGGAGTTCGAATCAAGAAGCATGCTTGCATCTCCAATAGCATTATTGGCTGGCATTCAACAGTTGGTAGGTGGGCTCGGGTGGAAAACATGACGATCTTAGGAGAAGATGTTCACCTTGTTGACGAAGTTTATAGCAATGGTGGTATTGTCCTGCCTCACAAGGAGATAAAGACTAGCATTTTGAAGCCTGATATTTTCATGTGATCATAATGGTGAAAACCGGCAGGGCATTTGTTGAGTATGATACTGCAATTTGGCTTGCTACCTTCCTTTTTTTTTTCTTCCTCCTCAGCTGTTGTATCAACCGCATCTGGAATAACAGTCAGTAGTAGACTGAACCAAAAAGTGTTTTTACCTGGTCATGTTTTCTGTTGATGGAATGATACAGTAGGCAATCCTAGGATAGAGATAGTATATGATTTGTTTCTGTTGGATGCTAATGTCCAAAGATCAGGGTACAAATTTTAAAGTGGATTGCATAGATAATATATACTGCAAGTGTAGGTGTATACAATTGAGTTCGACCACCATGCGTTGATTCCTCATTTATAGTATCTCCATTTTACCCTTTTCTTTAAAAAAAAAAATGAGGGATTCATGGTTGTTCGTCCTCTCTCCTCAGACAGCAAGTAGTTTTTTCTCAATCAGACATTTCAAGAATTCATTCTTGAACCTGATATGGACTCAATAGTCCCAAGAAGAGGACAATAATTCACCATGGTTGGTCGTGTTTTTCATATAAGTTTCTTGGTAGATACATGATACTTGATACAGCATACAGCCATACACCAATAAAGTAACAGCCATTGTGAAGCAATCAGTTTTGAAGATGTGAGCAAAGTCAAGAACAAAGTAAGCTTTCATTTCAATAGAATACTGAAACAAGCATCCTCGATATGCATAAACAACAAGTCTTCCAACCTTCAGAGAATTGCCCAAAAATGAAGGCATGTTAGGAAAAGGGGAGAGTGAGAGAGAGAGGCATTTACACATTGAAAGGTACTGTTATATGCATATATGTTCACTGTGAGCAAGCAATGCATTGAGTTTAAATTGATGCCAAGATCCATAACATCACATGAGATGATATTGCAATCAGAAACCAGGTGAAAAATGCCAATGATACAGATATTTCGATCCTGCTGCATGCAAAAGGACTGTGTCTCGTGCAGATATCCAAGTCTCTTGCATAAAGAACTATAACCCCTGCTGATGAACATGCAGCTGCAAGTGATAGCATTGCTGTAACCTGCATTTTTGAAACTTTTGACTTGTTAGGAAAGCTATACCCATTAAAGGAAAAGAAGGAAAGTAACCAAAAGATTCAAAACTTGATGCATTCAAATTCAATGTCCCCAGCTAGATGAGTAAACTGTTCTCAAGGTTCCCTATCAGAATGGTGAAGCAAGGATATCTATTTGTTTGCTTGTTAGCTGTTTTTCTTATTCTCTTCCTGAAGTAGAATACCTGGTGGTGTTACTACCTTTACCAAAATAAGACAGACAGAGAACCAAAGCTTGATATTGAAACCTTAGACTATTGAAAAACTGAAAGAATGGCATGCTATTCACCATGAACATCCTATCCACAGTCAGAGCATTTGAGCAACAAGTGATATTTGTTTGAAATTGCTTTATCTACGGTTACCATATGAGAATTGCCATCAGTTAACTGTATATTTACAGTCAAGAATCTTAACTTGGTATTCATTCATAGAGCTGGTTCTTGAAAGATGTTAGATGGTACCCTAAGAGAAAGGTTACATACCCAATCACCAACAACAAATAGGCTCACTAGAATTGGATTCTGAAGGTCTCTCTTTCTCCTCAAAGCATAAACATCAAGACATGCAAGCCCAAAACTCCAGAGCAGTTGAAGTCCCATAGAAGCAATCAAAAAGCTGAAAAAGAGGTCACATAAAACCATCAGAAAAGTGCACAACATACACACACAAACACCTTAATAATATATCTTAAGCCTCCAGAGATTCAGAGAAAAAGTGAGGGGACAAGAGACTCCCATCAAAGAGCAGGGAGTTCAGCATATTCCAGCAAAGTCACGCTTAACAATAAAAATTTATATTCAAGCTACCAAGACACACACTTGAAATCATAATCTCAGATACTAGAATCACCCCTAATCACTATGAAGATTCTTCCTATAAAAATTAAAAAGAAAAAGAAAAAAATCTCAACCACGTTGCAACTCCCGAGGAATTTTACTATCATGCTTGCACGGTTGCACCTCAAACACTAAATAGCAAAATATGTCCAAAGATCCAATCACTATGAAGCATCACCGAAAATCAAAAGATTAAGGCTTTGTTTAGTAAGGTTGTGATTTTGGGTTTCAAAATTAACAATTGAAACCCAAAATTAAAAATTAAAATTGGCAACTTATTGAGTATAGATTTTTAATTTTATAATTAATGCCTAAAACCTCAAACTTAATTAATTTATAAAATTTCTTAATTTTGTTCTAGGGTTTTTAAAAATTTCAAAACCAAAACCAAAAACTCAAAATCACAACCAAACTAAACAGAGCCTAAAGAACTCTCGCTACTGCACAAGGAGCATCAAAATGATAATACATTTGCTCACATCTACCATTAAACAAAGGAAAGTTTATAAACAGCAAGCATAAAACTGAATCAGTGAATCTGAAAGGCAGAAGCTTTGGAAACAAAATATTACCAGAAGGCAGTGTAGGTGGAAAAAGCAGAAGCGGAGGCCATGACTGCAATGGATGCGGTGGCGAAAGTAAATTGGCCAATCCTCAATGCCAAGCCACTCCTCGACCCGGGACTCCCTAAAAGCTCCTTCATTTCACTTCCTTTATCTCTGCGCCGGGGCCCAACCGCTGGATAAAGAAGGTCCCCCAGAAATTACCCAAGAGAAAACCCTAAGATCTCAAATCGCCTCCATGAATGCAACTCTAGTTGAGAATCTTCGTCAGAATTAAGCTCGTCCTCATTCCGATTTGCCGTAAACCCCAAAGATTCATGAGAATTTGGAGCACAGAATCGTAAAATTAAAGAATCAGCAAAATCATTGATTAACAGAGGGTAATAGTTGTAGTATATTTGATGGGTTATGATTTGAGAGGTGACAGCTGGTGAGGGTGACACTGCTTAGCGGGTTGACGAGAATGACCGTAAATAAGGA